CATTTCGTTGAGCTATAAAGTCGGCACATGTGTACACGTCCTCTTTCGTCTTTGTCGTTATCAGGACATATTTTTGCACAACTCCAAGCAAAATAAAGACGATACTTGACATAAAACAGGGAGTTAAGTTTTGATGTTTAAAGCCAAAATGTGTTAAAATTATCTTCTTAGCATTACAGGTGCTAAGGTAAGATGTTTGCCAATTCGAATATCAAGAAATGGAGTCCGCGTGTCGATGGACCTGCAAATTCGATCACATTCAGCCCACTTCATAAGCAAATTGTGATGGCGACAGGAATTTACCATGCCGAAACTTTGAACTCGAACTCGAGTAAGGAGCTGTTGCCATGTCAGGAAAAGTAGACATTAGTTGATTGGGGGGGCAGGTGCATGTATGACAACAAAAAGGACGGTTTACACCTTCTGGGTTAATAAGATGTCAAATGTGGGACAACAGTTTTAGCAGTGGATTAGAAAATGAATCTCCTCTAAATTTAGCCAACGATGAGTGCCAGTTTGGAAGTTTTGGTGAGTTGTGTAATCAGATAATTTGTATTCACTTTCCATAACGTGACATTCAATCAGCGATTTAAATACCAATCAGTGGCAACCACGCACCGCCTATGAGAGAAAAATATTGATACTTATTTGAATGAACGCCTCGAGAATGTCAAGAACAATTTCGACCTGGCGAAGATGAGGTGGAATTCGTCTCTCAAATAAAACATCTGTTTATGCCAGTCATAGATTGTTAATCAGGAATCGACTTATCGACTGCTTGTTGAGTTAGGGAAACACTTGATTGTCAGACTTCGCACATGACATTCTTACACGCAGTAAGTGACAAATGATTTTGCAGATTGTTTAGGCTATAGCCGACAATTCAGGAACCAAATCAAGACAATCAGTGAACGTCAGAACAATGTTTAAGACAAACTCTTCATTTAGTGCCCTCTTCGACCAACACGTTTAGCCTGAATTTATCACTTCACGCCTCATTGGAGCTAACAATATTCCTAGATCATCAATACATGTGGCATTAATCACCTTGGACACCATGTTACCACATATGTGACAAATGAATTTTCACGTACCTGACATGTAAACAAGCTCTTCTACGCTGCTCCCAACACAACGACAAGCACTTCGTTTGGCTCAGAAGTCGGCGCTTGTGGGCAAGCCCTCCTTCTCCTTCGTCGTCGTCGTCGTCATTATCATCGCGATAATGGGAGCAGCTTAATCCGGCAAAATCGAAGTCAGTGGCGTCAGTGAGATTTAAAACCACACCCCGGCGTACAAGTCGTAGTGACCACACAAAAAATTGAAAATCTCAATATCAGGAGTTGGAAGAGTCTTGTGTCGAATGCTCAGGTCAAGTGGTTCATTTTGTGCCTCACTGCACTGCTCACTGTCAAGTGCTTTCCCTGTCTGCCTGACGAAAGCCGAAATTTAGTGAGTTTGAAGAGAAACACAACACTCGCTGTGCCGTCGACCAGGTAGTTCTAGTGGGCCTCAGTTCAGTTTTGGAAATCACACCAGTGCCGACGATACACACTTTCAAGGCCAGACTGGAGAAATAGTGGAAAATGCAGATCGTGTGTCGCTCAACTAATCATTTAATATGGTATCGGTGTGGTGTAGTTAGAGTTTGTTAATAGCTTGAAGTTTGAGAAGCAGTGCTAGGTAATGAGGGCGGTGTTTTTGAAGACCACATCGTCGATACATTTCCCGACGCTGGCAACAAGGTAGACTTAAGTCGAGTGCCGTATATAGGAATTGGAGCAGGCATTTCTGCATCCACGATTTCCTACCATCGTGTAGATTGAGGCCACACACGATGGTCACAAACTGACAATGTTCGATTTGCTGCTTGTCGCTTATCCTGCGTAATAATCACATTTCGCCTAGATTGAGAATGTCACAAGTTCTCTTAGTAAATTTCACTCAAAACTACCAAAATTTGTTTTCTTGTTGATTGCCATTACGTCAGTTGTGCTCAGACACGTTAAGCGCCTTATTCAAAAAGACGACATTTGCTCTGTTGATCTGTTCAGAGTTCAAGTTTGACGAAAATTGGCTGCCACATTACCGTTATGCATTCATCACTCAACTCTACTCACTTACACAAATCCATCTCGCTCATCCAAGACTTTTTATGTATATAAACAAAGTTGACGAATCAGGCAACTGAACCACTGCAGCAACACTGACCGGCTGCCGGCTAAGTGACCGTGTGTCATCTGTCGATCCACTGTACATTCCTTCCTGGCTCAATTGTGGCAGCAGGACAGCAATACGAGGCCACCTACGGGATCTACTACGATACTGGACCTGCCAGTTGCATTCGCAACCAGCAGCAGTAAGTGGCTGAAATGAATTCCTATTAAATTAATTTAACCACCAAATAGGTTAGCAGGTTTTGCAGTCATGCCATCAGATGTATTTGCTTCAAAAGTGCTATGTGTTGTCCTTATGTTGTGCAAGGTTGTACAAAACAAAGTCGTGTGCTGTTGTAGTTGTATTTGACAGAGCTTGTGTAAATGCAGATTCCGCCACAAATGGATGCTAAGTTCATGCGCCAAAGACGCGTCTTAGGTGTTAAACATGAGTTTACACTATCAGTGCTGTGCTCCAGCACCAATGATTCAACTGATCTCATTAAAATTGATGCACTTCAAAGCTGTGTTACTGAATGCTTATTTGCTTGTGTAGGGGCGTTAGAGCAGCAAATGTCAGCCTTTGTTTGTTAATGTGCGTTGAATCTATTATCACACGAGTGCTGTCTGATCACGCACACCATGCATTGTGGAATTGCCAATAACACAATCTGGATCTATTCATTCCAGCAGAAGCCAAAGAGGTCGAGGTACAAAAGACCTTAGATGTCTGCGTCTCAATCTGGCGAATTTAGCAAACACATCGCAACGGACGGTAGTGAATCTCAGGTTCAGCCTCCACGTAGACTGCACAGCGGGTTTGATGCGTTGACTCAAACGGACCCCAAGTCGTCTGGTGACGGGACGATAGGGAATACGCCTGACAGTAAGCAGTACGGTGAGGAACAAATCGAACCACTTGACCTAAGTGTTCGACCCAAACCTCCTCCAGCTACTACTGGAGAAGCTTCATCGGGCAATGTTTGCTTTCTGCACGATGATTAATGCGGCACCTCACACATTATTTACGTGGCAGTCACTTAACTCAAACTTTGCTTTATAACACCGGAATCGTGTTTCGCCAAAAAATATCACTGATCTGCCTCCACTAATTTTATGATTTTAAATGTAGCTTATCATTTTCAAATTGATCCGATCCAAATCTTAAACGCATTATGTTCTTGACATGAAATGCAATTTATTGATGAACCACGGTAAATCTTTCATTGTTTGCGTACGTTGGATGTTGATGTCGGCTGCAATTTTCACACCGCATTATCCAAATCGTAACATGTCGTGGATTGTCCGCAGTAGTTGGCCTGCAAGCAACAGTAGAACTAACAGCCCTTCACAGCATATTTGGCCTATCATAAATGTAAGTGGGCTTGCGATATCACTAAGAAGATCGTTTAAGTTCTTAGCCTACGCTGGTTGTATCTTGAATCCATTGAAACAATTAAAAGTGTGGACGTAGCTCACACATGAATTACCATCTTCCTTTTTTAGCTTATCTTCACGAGACTCCATCCAACACCCATCCCAATTCCTTCGACTCCAATGCAAGCCCTATCTTTCCCAACCTACTGCAACCACTAGGAATCCATGCACAGACACACCGAACGACTTTCCAAGAAGTTGCAGTGCATGAGTGCAAGCAAATCGACTCCAAAATTCAGGATCATACCGCGAAATGTGGCACCCAGCATGCCTCAAACTCTTCAGGTCACATCTCCATCGACGACTGCAGCACCGAGTCAACTTCGATACCTAGAACGAGGAAACGAAAATATGCGCGTTTTTCAGACGATCAAATTTGGGAGCTTAGAAATCGGTATTTTAAAAAGAACAAAATCTCTCTTAGCGAAAGCAGAGAACTGGGTGGACGCATAGGTCTCACTGCTGCGCAGGTAAGGTGATTGCGTAAAATTTTAGTCGAACCAGGGCATTCATGATTACAAGTGCTAGTTGCAAAACAGTTGTTTGGCCTGGGCAAATAAATCGTTGGACCGATGCGATAAACATTAAGAGTTGATAGTCAAGTTGCAAATGCGGTGTCTCATAGTACACGCTGTCCGGATGCCCCGTAGCACTACGACGAGCGTCTACCGCATGACTGCATGCACTCTGCGGTAAGGTCGTTGGTAATAAGCGACTTGGCTCACCATGTCTGTTTGAATAAGCCTGTAGACGAGCAACTGACTGGCTGGCTGAATAAATGGTTTGTGTAGTTAGGAAAATGCTGCAGGCCAGGAGGTGTCTGTGTGGGTGTGTGGGGAGTCAGAATGCCGGAATGTTAATTTGTCAGTGGATGAGGCATGAGGCGGATTCGTACAGCTTAATCACAGGCAGGAAATCAATAAACTTGAGCAGTTTTGATGGCTATTTATTATTTTAGTAAGCTCACGTATAAACCATCAAACGAAGCATTTAGCGACAGACAGTCAATTTGCGGCGAGGCTTACCGTGTCAATTCGATGGCTGGATGTTTGCTAAACCGCGTTCGTGTAATGGTTGATTGTGCCATTGATAATGTTATTGCGTCAAACAGATAACTTTGTAGTAGCAAAACACAATTGTGGCTAATGCATTAGTAAGATCGCACAAAATTAGAACTTAGCAAAGCCGACAACGAAGAAGCGTGCATTGATCTCCATTCGAAATGCATTGCAGGTCCAGTCTTGGTTCGAGCATCGTCGAAAGAAAGCAAGATTGTCTAAACATCAGTGACTTACTCAGCCATTATCAGCTTGATGTTGCTGATTCCGCAATGTCAGTGTCAACGATGTCGAAGCCTTTTGGATATATACAGTTACCTCACTCTTTCCACGTCAATACAATGCCGTTTAATCTATTCACCCTGTATGCAATGAAACTGCGTCTTTCCTGTCTTACTTGCTGCCACCCATTCTGCCAAATGTCTTTTTGGTAGACCAATGGGATTCTAGAGCACTTTTATACCAACAACTCGCCTCGTTTACTGTCCTTGTGATGTTTTAACATACCTTCGTTTTGATATTTATATCGTTCTTACACACTTGGACTTTGTTTAATAAAGGGGATTTGATTGACATCTTCATTCCGACCAACATAACTGCTGCGACCAGAAATACTAGAGAATGACCCAAACAATCACCTCCCAGATGTTCCACACTGAGATATCGCCACAAACTGCGTTCGAGATTGCATCATATGCGATTGCAGAGATGGACACCTCCATATGCAATCATGAGTCATGTGCTGATACCCGATCCTTCATATCCATAGGTCTATGCAATGGGTTAATACACTTTCTAGTTGATACGTGTGATGGATGCTCCCTGGTCAACCCATGACTATTTCCTCAGCAAACGTTTAAACCATACCAGGTGGAATCATCGATTAGTGTTAAAGCCGCGAACGGTACGGTGGTGGTTAGTAAGGGGTGTGTTGATGTCTCATTGCCTAATGATCACATCTCGCCTTACTTGAGTATGTCACGTTTTCTTTTTAAATTTCACACACAAATACCGACATTTGCTCTCTTGTTTATTGCCTTGACATCAGTAGTGCTCAGACACATTGAGCGCCTTTTCAAGAAGACGATATTTGCTAGATTGGTCTGTTTGACCAACATTGGCTCAGAAATTACCGCTCAGCATTCATCCCTCACGCGCCACTTCTCGTCACTTAACACTGCTCACTTATGCAAATCCATCTCTCTCATCCATGCTTTTATATGTAAATAAAGAAAGTTGGCGTATCAGGCAACCGAACTACGGCAACGACACTGTCCGGCTGCCGGCTAAGTGCACGTGTGTTAGCTCTCGATCCACTCAAAACTCATTCGATGTGTTTGCTCAAAATCGTGTGTTGTTGCTGTCGTATTTGACAGAGCTTGTGTAAATGCAGATTCCGCCACAAATTAATGCTAAGTTCAGTATTACGTGTTGAAGTTGAGCTTAAACTTTGCAGGCGAATCATTCGTCTAATTCAATCACTTGCCACAGGTACCCCCAGGCTAGATCCAAAACAACTATCGCATCTAACGGTCAACGCGACATTCGTCCTTGTCACATCCAGCCGCATCAAACACAAAAGGAACACGGGATAATCCGACTTCCTCAAACACCACATAGCGCTGATTTGGCAATGCCTACGTCAAACAGAAATACCCTCTGGATATGACTTCGAACCTAATTGACTCTATTATTTGAAGTCGGGGTCACTTTCATGCTGACGCCTGTGCACCCACCTGCATGCCCTCAAATTGATCTCTTGTGAGCCGACTAACGCAGTTTACACGATCAATGCTGTGCTCCAGCACCAATGAATCAACGGATCCCATTGCTTAATTCACTGCAAATCCTTGTTCATAGATGATCACGTTCTTGCCTCAAACCTCCTCCAACCGCTTTAAATCATCAAATTTAAAAGTTCCTGACACTAACTTGATAGCATTGACAAGGCTCAAGAGAGCACAACTTACGCCAAATATATTTGCTTATGGTTCAAAGTGTGCATTAGAATCCCAGTCGATATAACAGCTACTTATCCTACAAGCCATTCAGTGCAGGACCGCATTCTTTTCATACGACGAGAGTCTTCTGGAGGGAAGGGAGTGATTGGTCAAAAGCCCCGTTAAAGTGTCATCGTTCACGTCGCACCCTCAGCAAAAATCACTTTGCGATGTGTGAAGGAAAAATGGCACAAGACATGAACTTAATGGGCAGTTAGCTTCACACGAAGATGGTGGGGGCAGATGGAGGCAAATGGCTGGTATTTACAGGTACAGTTGAAGTGATATTGGGAAGTGGGGCTCACTGAAGTTGCACGTCTGCGGCGAGTCAAGTGCTCGTAAAGTTCAGAGGCGAATGGACTGCTCCAGGTCGCTTGAGCTTGAAGTGACCCTCGATGATTTCTACCTTCTTCATCAACATCTGCGACACACTTCTGGCGTAGTCGAGGGCCTCGTGCATGATCTCCTGGTAGTGCTGGAAATATGCTATGTCGTCCTACAACCGAAAGAGAAGTGGAACTGCAGTTGATGCCACATTCACCGATGAGGTTAAAGTCGCCTTGATGACGCACTCCACTGTCTCTTCACACCTCAACTACCATCAACTGTCACAATCTATTCAAATTCATGATGCTGCAGTCTTCCGGTTGTGGACTGTCGGTACTTCTTTCCAGCGAACTGGAGTCGAAACGAACCATTAATTTATACAGGCCTTTACCATATTGGTTCCAAACCGTAAATGAATATATATATATATATATATATATATATATATATATATATATATCCTTTATAATCAAATGC